AGAGGAGGGATGGTAGGGGGTTCGTTTCACCCACACTCACCGGGGTCTGTCTCCATCTGGGGCACCAGGGAAGACCCGCCCCAATGCCCGGAATTCCCGGCCACCACTCACCTTCCCCACCAGCTTGCCCTTCCGGTTCATGCACAGGTAGAACTCCGTCTCCTTGCCCTTGATCCGGACTTGACTGCCGAAGGTATCTGTCTCCACTAGGAGCTGGGCTTCGAAAGGCAGAAGCAGAAAAGGGACACGTTTTTTTACCAGGGCAAAGACTTGGCCTAAAGACTCAGCGGGAGGGTCCCTGACCCCGTCCTGGACCCCCCCATCCCTGAAACCAGGCCTGGGAGGGGCTTCTGCCGCGTCCCTCCCACTCGAGCACCCTCCAGGCGGGGAGAGGGAGCCGTCCCCACCTGCTCCCCACCCCCAGCCTCTCTCGACTCCACTTGGGACCCAGATGGCTCCAGCGAGTGGGGATTCTGCCCCTTGTGGCTAAATACCAGGTGTCTTCTCCCCTCATCGCCCAGCTCCCCCAGCCCCTCGGCTCCATTTCCCCAAAGCGGGCAGAGAGCCATACAAATAACCCCACACATCAGCAGTAGCAGTCTCTGCGATAAAGGCACAGACAAATGCTTGTGAGTTCTCACAGCACACACATGCTCATGCACATGCACGCACTGCCCACACACTGCACATGCCCTGCACACGCACTGCACAGCACGCACACACACTGCACACACACTGCACACACACTGCACACACACTGCACACGCACTGCGCACACACACTGCACACACGCTGCACACACACTGCACACGCACTGCGCACACACACTGCACACACGCTGCACACACACTGCACACGCCCTGCACACGCACTGCACACGCACTGCCCAGCACGCACACACCCTGCCCTGAACGACGGCAGAGGCTCCTTCCTCCAGGGAAAACATGTGAGTGTCCCTTTTGCCTCCGCACCTTTGCCACGTGAAGTGGGGAAGGCCCGGGGAGGGGAGGCCGTCTACAGAATTCCACTTTCCTCAACCAAGGTCATCACCTAACTCCCAGGGGCCCAGACGTCCCAATCAGGACCAATGCCCCCTGGTCCTGAGTAGGAGACCGCACCCTACACCACCCATGCTCCTCAGGGTGGGGGTCTCCAGAGCTGATCCCCGAACGCCTTGAAGGTCAAAGGCGAACTGCCCCTTGGTAGGCCCGCTGTGTCCAGACCCCTCCCGCCCTCTGCCAGTCCGTTTCCTCCCCGTAGCGCCCTGTGTGACGTCGGGAGGCCACGCACACTCTCCGAGCACTCTCTCCTCTCCGTCCTGAATCCCCTGCCGCCCCCTCCTTGCCTTCTCTGCCTGTGGCCCTCCCATCCTCACCCTCCCATCTCTGACCCTTTGCTTCCCAGCACCTGCCCCTCCCTCAGCCACAAAATTTTAATTTCACTGACAGGGGACTTGCTTCTCCATAACAGAAATCATAGCCCTCAGTACAGTATCCTTGGAGCCACAAAGAGCGGACCTCAGTGGCCCTAAAATACACGAGGTATGATTTTAATTAAAAAAAATTAAAAATATATACCCTGGTGCCCTGCTATGAAAATTAAAACCATCTGGAAAGCAGGATTTCCAATAATTAATCTAGCCCTCCTTTGACACCACTACTAATTAAAATATGATACCCCACCTTTCCACGGAAAAAAAGAAGAATTTACATAAAATTTAAAGATCTAACAAGAATTTAGTAATTCTAGAAACAAGGGGGAGGGCACATTCTTCTCTCCACCTTCCCCCATCCCTAGTAAACATCGAGTCAAGAACATTCCCCAACACAGAGATAGGGGTTGCAGGCCCCCGCTGCTCCCCAATTCAAACGCCCGATAACTCTCCCTGGAAGCTCGGTCCCGGGGACGCAGGCCCAAACATGCCAGCAGCCCTGGGCCGGGCTCTCTGCCTCCCTCACAGCTCCTGGGGTCGCAGACCCTCCTGGGGATGGGCTGTGGGATCAGGAGGTCTGCGATCCCAGGAGCTTCGGAAGGAGGCAGCGTGTGTCAGGGAAGGTGAGAGCTTTGGAGAGCACAGGCCTGAGTCTAAATCGCTGGCCCAATTGCACGACCTTGGGCCTCAGTTTCCCTGCCTGTAAAATGGGGGCAAGCATCCCTGATCTTCAATAGTGACTGTGAGGACTACCCAGAACGATACTGCAAAGGGCCGGCGCCTGTCCTCAGGGGCGGGGTGGGGGAAACTCGGTACCTGTTGTTCAAGTGTCCTAATAACCGCAAAACAAAACTGTTTTCCCAGAAGAAAAACATACGCACATTGTGAAAAGCCAGGTGTGCGTGCGAAAGGGCGGAGGTGGACCACACCTGCCCCCGGCCTGAACTTCCTTATCGGCCTCGGGGGGTCGCCGGCACCCCACACATCAGACAAGGCCTCCGGCTGGGACTTATGGGGTCTGATTCCCTTTCCAGTGTTGCCATCCTGGGCCGCGTGACCTCCACCCCCTCCCTGTGAGCCTCCGTTTCCTTTCCTGTGCAAGGCGGGGGCTCAACCCTATCCTGACTCTCGGAGACTCGGGGCAGGCTCTAGGACAGGGGCAGGGACGGACACTAGGAAGGAGATGAGGCCACAGGGCTGGGGCGCAGGCCACCCAAAGTGGCGCCCAGGGGGGACAGCTCCCACTGCTGCCCGATCTGAAGTCACACATCCCCACACGCCTGAGCATTTTGTCCCCATTTTACAGCGGAGGGAACTGAGGAGGGCCGACTCCAGGTCTGCCTCCTTCTGCTGGGGCCTGGGCTCCAGGGGAGGACACCAACTCAGGGAGACTAGCTCCGAACACAGTCCTCCCCCACTCATCAGCCACAGCCCAGCCCCCCGAAGGCAGCCCTGGCCTTTTCAGGAGCATCCGAAGGGCCTGGGGCTGGGGCTGTACTGCACCTTTTCGCCGGGCCAGGGGAGCCAGAAGTCTGTTCTCCCCCAACCGCAGCAGGCCATGGACTGGCGTAGACTCCACTGGGCGCGCATGACATAATGAGGGAGCAGGGCCAGAATTATGTAAAGTCTTTAGGGAGTAATAGCAGCAGCAGTTCTCAGAAGGAGAGAGAGAGGGGGGAAGAGAGAGACCCCACCCACCCAGGCCAGGTTTTCCCCAGAGCCTGCCTGGTCTTCAGCGTCAACGCCCCTCCCTCCATGACCCAAGCCCAAGCCCCAGGCCCAAGTGCAGCTGGACGAGACCCCTCCTCGCCGCTCAGTTCTGTTCTCGGGCCTGTACCAGGCCAGACGGGAGGAGGCGATGACATTCTCTCACCCCCCTCCTCGTCAGGCCTCCTCAGCACCCTGGCAGCCCCTCCAGTCTTCACAATTCAACAGCCTCCTCCCTCTGCCACTCCTGCCCCTCACCAGTCTCCCTCTATGCCTCTGCCAGCGGGATCCTTGCTGAAAGGCCCCCGGGGAGTCTCCGAGGCACTGAAAATCCAGCCCTTTTACCGGGACCCACAAGGGTGTGTGATCTGGTGCCTGTGGGCCATCCCACCTCCTGCCCTCCCCACAGCCCTCCAGCTAGCCAGCCATTGCACACACGCTGCCTCTCGAACACGAACAAGTCCCGCACACCGAACAAGTCCCGCACACCGGAGCCTCGGGCCTTTGCACTGGCTGGTCCCTCTCACCGGAGAATGCTTTGCCCAGAGCTTCCCCCAGTGACTTATCGCAAGTGTCACCTCCTCAGAGAAGCCTCCTGGCCATGCCGTCCAATGTCTTACTAGCCTCCCCCAGCCAGCACCCCACCCCCTGCTCCACTGTCCTCAAAGCTCTTCTCCAATTGTCTTATTTGCTACCGTTTTTATTGTCTGTCTGTCTTCACTAAAGGTGAGCTCCATGTGGGCAGGACCTGACCTGTCTTATTTACCGCTGCGATCTCCATCCAGCACTAGCCCATCCCAGCTCCCAGTAAATGACCAATCAGTCAAGTTTACTAAATGCATCAATTCGCTTGAGAGGGAGGAATGAGTAACGTGAAGAGCATGAGATTCAGGGAGGTGAAGAGACGTGCCCCGAGGCATAGCTGGTCAGAGCTGGGCAGAGGTTCGGCCCCAGGCTCTGATTCCACAGCCACTGCCCACCGGTGGGGTCTCTCCCGCCACTCCCTGGTCCCTGAGCTCCCATCCACCAATCCCAGCCCCGGGGCGACCATCACATATTCTGACTTGCTGTGTGACAAAGGGAAACACCCTGTCCCTCTCTGGGCCAGGACTAGGTGACCTGCAAGGCCCTGTTCCGTTCTGCCTTCCTAGAAAGTGTCAGTAACTTACATTCATTTAGAATGAATTTAGAGCTTATGATGTGCTGGGCGCTGTTCTAACAACCTACCATGCATTGTCTCACTTAATCCTCACAACCATCCCATGAGGTTAGAACTATTAATATCATCCCCATTTTACAGGTCCGAAAACTGAGTTCCAAGGTACACAGTGACGAAGTTCAAACCCAGGCAGGACTCAAACCCAGGCTGACTAACCTAGAAGTCGTGGTCTCAGCCCATCTACCCACCCCTCACTGCTCCCCGACACCAGTCCCTTTCCTGGGGAATGAGTGCGTGGACACCAAAGGTGGGCAGCAAAGGTCTTCGCCGTGACCTCACTTTCTGAGGGCAGAGGTCTAGGGGCAGAGAAGCCACACAGCCAAAGGTCAGGGCCCATCCCTCCCAGCTCCACTTCCAAATGCCCTTGAGGAAGGAGGGGTCCCCCGAGGGTCACCTTCAAGCTGATACTGGAAGGTGGGGAGCCCTCAGGAGCACCCAAGGCTCAAACCACAGTGAAAGGGGCAGAAATGCCAGGTCTGGTCAGGGAGTGAGTACGGGATAGGGGACCCCGTGACCCAGGCCCCTGAAAGGAAACAGAGCCCATCTCACCAGGTTCTGCACAGAGAGGGAGCCCAGCACCTGCCTATGGCTGGGCCCAGGAGCTCCCAGGCCGGCAGCATCCAGAGAGGAAAGCAGAAAAGGGGAAAGACTGGGAGAAAAAGGAACTGGCCAGAAAGCCCTTCCTAACACATGCTGTCTCCCCCCACCCCCGATGCCACCCCCGTTTCTCCAAAGTGGATGGCGTAACAATGGTAATTTTTTAAATAGCAGCTAATACTTAAGCATTTACCCTCTGCTGGGCACTGTGCTTGGATTGTGACTGTGGAATGTCTCACTAGCTCCTCACAACCCTAAGAGGGGTGCCCTGTTATGTCCCTTTTACAAATGAGAAAACTGAGGCACCGAGCAGTTAAGCTCCTTGCCAGAGTCACACAGTAGGGCCAGGATTTGAACACAGGCGGAGTATTAACTCCAGAGCTAGTCTGAGACAGACAGAGTCCGAGGCAGGCAGAGGGGCAGACCAGCGGCAGGCCTGTGACGGCCCAGAACAGAGAGGGACATTGGTTGGTTGGGTGATGGATTGGCTGATCACACCGTGATTACCTAGCGGGAATCTGTGGTCTGAAGACTTTGGTTTGAAGGGAGAAGCAGGGGGACCCGTACAAAGAGAGACACGGGAAAACAGGACCAGCGAGGGGGAGCCGGAACGGGTTTCTCCCCACCTCCACCTGCCAGGCCTCCGCGTAAACCCCAAGACCCCTGAGCACCCCGGGGGAGCCGGGAGCCAGGAGAGGCACGTGGGCCGGCCGCAGGCTGGCCGCTGCCTTCCAATGCTGACGGAGCTGCTGGCCGCTCTCCAGGTGTCGCCCTGCAGCGAGGAGCTGTCCTTGCCACAAAGGCACCGGGAGGGCCCAGGAATCAGGCTCCCTTCCTCCGCGCTGCAGGGGGGCCGGGTCGGGAGGAAGGGAGAGGGCCGGGGGCAGGGGAGAAGGGGTCCTTTCTGGAGATGTTTCAGCATCACACGCGATGGCCGTTCTCCAGAGGCGCCCATGGCTCTCCTTCTCCCCAAGTCCCCGAGGAGGCCGGCAGGCCATGTGGGCTCGCCGGGGAGGAAGAGGGGAAGAATCAATAGGATTGATCCGGGGCTATATTTCATCCTCGCCGTGGCTCTAATTGGCCGTTTCAGCTGTGGAGTCAGCGAGGTGTGGGTGGCCACTCCTCTGGGGACAGAATTCGTGGGACATGAGCTCAGACTGAGGATCAGTGCCCCTCCCAGCTGGGAGAGCCCCAAGGGGAAGCCGGCTATGCTGCACAGTAAGAAGTGCACTGGCCGGCAGGACCTACTGTGTGCGGCAGGACCTACTGTGTGCAGAGCACTTGCCCTGCGGGAGCCTTGCCCTCAGCACTCCCGGAAGCACACGTGAGCCATCCGTGCACTGGCTCGGGCATTGACTGGGCACCTGTTTACGGCTGGTCTGTGCCTGGGGACACAGCAGTGGGTGAAACAGACAAAAACCCTACCCTGAGGGAGCGTGCATTGGAGCAGGAGAGGCGGAGAGCGATAACTAAACAGACAGCAGGACGGCAGGCAGCGGAAGGGCTCGCACGAGGAATGTTCCCGCGCGGGGCCGGGCAGGCGCTCTCTGCGAGGGGACAGCGGAACAGAAGCCATGAGGTGTCTGGAGAGGAGCGTTCTCGCGCCCAGGGGGCAGCCAGCACAAAGGCTCCCAGATGGGAACGCACAGCGTGTCCAAGAGCCGCAGGATGGAGCGGAGAGAGCATGGACGGCGTGGAGAGCCTGGGGTGGGAGCGGCCCCCACGAGCCAGGCGGCCCTGACCCGAATGCATTCAAAGTGAGAGGAGAGCCTTTGGGAGCAGCGACCACCTTGCATTTGGCTGTGTGTGGAGGGTGAGCACTGGGCATCGGACTCAGAGAGCGGGGACTCGGCTGCCTCAGCCACACCAGCCAGCCCACGGGACCCTGCTCCCGGGACCCTGCTCCTGGGACCCTGCTCCTGGGACCCTGCTCCCGGGACCCTGCTCCCGGAACCCTGCTCCCGGGACCCTGCTCCTGGGACCCTGCTCCTGGGACCCTGCTCCCGGGACCCTGCTCCCGGAACCCTGCTCCCGGCTCACACTGCCCTCCCGCAGGTGCCAGAATGAGGTGATGGGGACTGGAGCATCCCCTGTCCCTCTCATCACCCGCTCAGCAAAAGCCAGGACCCTCCCCACATATCTTCCTGCGGAGCCACACAAGCCAGCCCCATTTTACAGCTCAGAAAACTGAGTCCCAAGGTCACACAGTGACGAGGTTCAAACCCAGACAGGACTCAAACCCAGGCTGACTAACCTAGAAGTTGTGGTCTCAGCCCATCTACCCACCCCTCGCTGCTCCCCGACACCAGCCCCTTTCCTGGGGAATGAGTGCGTGAACACCAAAGGTGGGCAGCAAAGGTCTTCGCCGTGACCTCACTTTCTGAGGGCAGAGAAACCCACAGAGCCAAAGGTCAAGGCCCACCCCTCCCAGCTCCACTTCCAAATGCCCTTGAGGGAGGAGGGGTCCCCCGAGGGTCACCTTCAAGCTGATACTGGAAGGTGGGGAGCCCTCAGGAGCACCCAAGGCTCAAACCACAGCGAGAGGTGCAGAAATGCCAGATCTGGTCAGGAGAGTGAGTACAGCATGGGGAGCCCCACAACCCAGGCCCTTGAAAGGCAAGTCCTCGGAGCCGGAGACCACGGGGAGACCCTCTTGCAGGAGGGCATTTTGCAGGTGCCCCAATGACTCCCTTCAGATGTCAGGCCGAGAGCGCCTGGGCAGGGCACCCCAGGGTGCACCTGCACCCCGTGCCGCCCACGGAGCCTAGCATAGGATCTGAGGTCCGGAGTGTGCGTGGCGATGCCAGATTCCAGGCATGAATAGGATCCTGTTCGTGCTTGATATTCACTGAAACTCCCAGGCTGGGCTCCAACCGGGGAGGAATGTGGGGCCCTGAGATGGAGCGAGCAATTTCCTGGACCATCCGGGGTTCCCTGACCAGGGACTACTGGCTGCCCCTCCCCCACAGGTAGGGCAGGCCCCCAACACAGCTCCGTCCTCCTGGCGTGGCTTGGCCACATAAATCACCCTCTCAATAATATTGGTATTGATTATCTAGATTGGAAGCCTCAATTGGCTCCATTGTCTCGCTTCCTTTCCTGGGGTTCACAGATGGGGTCCCATCCCCCCATCTGTGTCTCTAATGCGACATTTAAATGGAGTGGCCTCAGTGCCAGCAAGGCCCCGTGCTGCCCTGGGTGCTGGGGGGGGTAGGGGAGCGAAGCGCATATTCCTGGAGCGGGACTTATTAACGCCCGAGCTCATGGAGCCGGAGAAGCAGCCAAGATGGGCTGGGCCCGGACCCTCCACGTGCAGGACCAGAACCGCCTGAGCCTGGTGAGAAAAGCAGGGCCCGGGCCGCCAGACCCACTGAGCCCACGTCACATTGAGTGAGAGCCCTCGGCGACTCCCACTGCGGTCACTGCTATCGCCACCCTGGTCGTGTCCAGGAGGGAAGCTGAGGCCCAGAGAGGCCAAGGGCTTGCCTGAGGGCACACAGCAGGTGAGACTCCCCGGGTCTCTAGTTGGGGCAGAGGAAACATGGGGGCCAGTGGCTTCTGGAGGGAAGGGCCCGCTATCTGCACAGGCGCCTCTCCCTCCCGAGTTCCTGCCTCCTGTCTCAGGGCGTGGACAGATGGTTCAGACCAAAGTCTGTGCCCCCTGTGCTCTCCCAGCCTGGAGGGGCCAGCCAGAGCTGGGGGGACTCCCCAGGAGGGCACCTCCCTCCCGCCCGGGCCAGCCAGCTGCCCCTTCCCTGGCAGCAACTGGACAGCAGCTCCCAGGGAAAAGCGCCACCTGGGTCTGCCCAGCACAGCCAGACGTCCAGGAGGGGGGCACGGCAGGACGGAGGCCCCGCAGAGGCGGCAGCAGAGGGCCTGGAGCAGTGGGGACCAGGGGCGAGAGCTGGGGTCCAGGGAAGGAGGCAGATAGGACAGAGATGGTGGGGAGGGGCAGGCAGACAGGACCAGACACAGAGGGGGAGGGCTGAAGACCAGGAGGGAGGGAGAAGGACCCAGAGGAGAGAGACCTGGATGAGAGAGAAGCGGCCAGACCGGAAGGAGGG